CTCTCTCTCTCTCTCTCTCTCTCTCTCTCTCTCTCTCTCTCTCTCTCTCTCTTTAAGTGAGAGAAAGCAAAATGAACATTTAAAAAGAAGGTGGAAGGGGAACTTGGGAGAAAATGATTAAGAAGGTACAGATTTAATCCCTAGAGAGCAACTGGGGTCTTAGTACAAGTTTGCTTATTGTTTTAATCCTATTATGCACAGCAGAAAATCTCAGCTCTCCTTAACTGTCTATTCACTGCTGCTTACATGAATTTCTACTTTGTGATACTGAGAAGAGATCAGGGATTTAAAAAATCCACCCATGTGGCTGGTGAGACATCTTGCAGAAAACCTGGGTTCAGTTCCCAGCACCCATGTTGGGAGGCTCATGACCACCTGTAACTCTAGCTCCAGAGGATCTGACACCCTCTTCTGGCCTTCTAAAGCTCATGTGCACATACCTACAAGCATTCATACATATAATTAGAAAAACATACTCAGGAAATAACAGAACCCTCATTCAATATTGCAGGCTCTCAGAAATTTGTTTTAAAGACAATATCATTGAGACATAACGTACATACATCACAACGTGTCATTTAAAGTGTACAGATCAATAGCATTTGGATATTCGCAGGAAGTGGAACAAAGCACAATCACAGAACACTTTCAGTACCTCCAAAAGAAACCCACGCTCTTAGCTATCGCCTGCCATCCTTAACCTATTGACTTACATGGCTTTGTTTATCTTCAACATTTCAAATAATTAGAATTGCATAACATATGTGCACACATGTGCATATTACTGGCTTCTTTCACCTCTTGGGCTGTTTTAAGATTCATCTATGGTACTACATAACAGCATGTGCCCATACTTCTATCTTTTTTTTTTTTTTACCCCTTTTTGTAGTCGATAACGTTTCATGAATAGATGTATCACATTTTGCTTTTCTTTGCCTAATATGAATAATGATGTTATAAATATTCACATACAAGTTATTGTATGGGCATATGCCTTCATTTCTTATGAGTATATCCTCTGGAATAGAATTGTTGGGATAGAATTTTCAAAGTTCATCCACTGGTGGTAAGGACAAGACTATTGTTTAAACTGGCTGCCATAGCTCACATTTCCATCTGTATTTATTAGTTTCCTCAGATGTCACACAATATCTGAAAAAAAAGCAAGTTAAAAAAGGAAGGGTTTGTTTTGGAGCATGGTTTGGGGGTTCAGCCCATCATGGCGGGGAAGGTGCGGCAGTGTGAGCGTGAGGCCGCTGGTCACATCGCAGCTGCAGTCAGGAATCTTTCTCCCTCTTATTTAGGCTGAGATCTCAGCCCATGGAATTGTGCAGCTCACAGTTAGAGTGGGTCTTCCTACCTAAATTAATGCAATCTACACACTCCACCACCACCAAGTCCAGAGGTTTGTCTCCTAGGTAATTCCAGATCCCGCCAAGTGGAAAATCAACAGTAACCACCACACCACCATTAATGTGTGCATGCTCTGATTCCTCCAAATTCTCACTAGTGCTCACTTTCTATTTTCTTTCTTACGGCCAACCACACAATGGTGAGGTGGATTTTTTTGATATACATCTCCCCAATCACGCTATTGCTCATGCCTATATGAGCCAACTGTCTTAAAAACTTTGTGTAACGCCGGGCGTTGGTGGCGCACGCCTTTAATCTCAGCACTCGGGAGGCGGAGGCAGGCGGATCTCTGTGAGTTCGAGGCCAGCCTGGGCTACCAAGTGAGCTCCAGGAAAGGCGCAAAGCTACACAGAGAAACCCTGTCTCGAAAAACCAAAAAAAAAAAAAAAAAACTTTGTGTAGTTCTAAATTTTGTCATTTGTCTTTTTATTGCATTGTAACTGTTATAGACAATAGTTAGAAGTCCCTTATTAGACATGTGAATTGCAAATACCATTTCTCATTTTGTTTGGTGGTTGAACTTTGAAACACAAATCTTTTTTACATTAATTTATTTATTTGTCTTTGCTTGCTTTGTGCTTAGGTGTCTTGCCTGAGAAACCAGTGTCTAATCCAAAATCATGCATATTTATGTGTGCTTGCTTTAAACAGTTTGAATGGGTCTCTGATCTATGTTGAGGAAATTTCTTTATATTATTAAGCTTTTGAGTTCTTTTCCTTTTAAATCATGAAAGACTGTGGATTTTGGCAAATGCCTTTTTATATTTACTGAGATAACCATTTGGATTTTTCTTTTATTTTGTTGGTATTGTATATGTTGCATCATGTTTGACTGGTTTTGAGGCAGCCTTGAATTTCTGGGGTAAAATACATTGAGCCTGGTGTCTAATCTTTTTATATGTTGGTTTGGTGGTTTATTGTTAAGGATTATTGTGTCTATAGTCATAAAGGGTATCAGTTGTCTTAAACATACAAAGGAGTAGATCTGTAAGTCTTTATTTTCACCACATCTTTGTATGGAGGCATGTTGACACGCTGGATGTTTTAGGGGGTATGATTCTTGATAACACATTTTGTTGTCAAGAAATTGAATCAAGTCAGAAAGTTTGATTCAAAAGCTTAAAGAGTTGATCTGCTAGAGATGGTAAAGAAGCCTCGAGGGACCAGATGAACAGCTTGCCATGAGGTATGAGTTGTTATGAATGTAAGAAATGGGCTGATGTTCATACTATGGGAAAATGTCCTTCCATTCTTCTCCTATGGTACAGATGCCTGAGGGATATAAATCATGGGTCAGTGCACATATGCTGCACCTTCTGGAGGAGTCTGTGCTTTCAAATATTTGGGAAACAACTCTAATTTTTAATAATATTTAGAGATAGGATCTCATGTAGCCCAGGCTGACCTCAAACTTGCCATGTTACTAAAGATGATCTTGAACTTCTAATCTTCCTGCTGGGATGGCAGATGTACAGCACACACCGTGCCTGAACTGACTTTTAATATAATTATAACAAACACAGATTCATTGAGGGAGAAATTATAAATGTCTTAAGAGTACTTCAGATAAGTCTTGAGACTTCAAGAAAATCCTAACTGTGATGGGCTGAGTACCCATGTACACACCCCATGTGGCACAGTCATTTGCTCTCCTTAGTTATGAGGGACTGTCTGTAACGACAACAACAGTTGCGACAAGCTGACCATCAAGTGATGGAAACCCACTTCTGTCCTTGGAAGGGGGAATATTGGCAGTGGCTGCTCCCCCAGGGCTTCTGCCCTTAGCTGCAGAGGCATCTTTACTTTGTGTCTCTTTCTATTCATGTCTTGTCCCAATCTTCGCTTCTAATCCAAATCGATTCGAGCCCACTCATGTGAACTTATCCTAACTTAATTATCCACTTGAGGGGCTCATCCCCAAGAACAGTCACATTCTGAGGTGCTAAAACTCCACATCTGGAAGTCTGGGGACACAATCCAGCCCAAAAAGGGTTCTTGGGTTGATTTTGAGAATAAAAGGTAATTGCCTTTGGAATGATCTCAAGATTCTGAATGAGATCAATACATTTTTAGGGAGTAGTACCACAGTGTGTCTCTCTTTCCCATGCTAGCCCAGGCTCCAAGAGACACATTGGTTTGTAGAAGGATGAGACCTGCTGCTCTCACTAACCATAAGAGAGACTTCCATGTATTTTCTTTTAAACCTGTTGTGGCTGGTGTCCAGAGCCAGAGTGATGTGTTCTGAAGGTATGATCCTTCTATTTGGAGAAATGGTCTTTTTAAGTACCAGGGGTCAATATTGTATATCTGCCTGCCTGGTGGGTTATAAAAAGAGAGTTGTTTTTTCAAAACCCAAGGACAAATTCTGCTATTCATGACTATCAGTTACCACAAACAGCTGGAAAAGACCCAAGGAAATTTTTATAATAAAAGCTGTAAGTGTCTAGCCTTGGCTAACAGACTAATAAGTGGTCGCTTACACAGTGCTTGAGGGCACTATAAGTAAGACTGATTACAGGATTTCCATACAATAAAAACAAATGGCAGAGAAACTGTGAGAATAGACAAGCTGTTTTCAAGAACACAGGTTGATTCAGGTGTTACTGCAATAACTCATTTTCTCCAAACAGCTTAAACACATAGGGTATAGTCTACACAGTACCACCCTGAACACATCCAGCTGATCTCAGGAGCTCAGAAGGATCTGGTCTGGTTAATACTTAGATGAGTGTAACTAGAAGTCAGTATTTAAACCCTCAATTTATAGGTTACAACTTATAGAAAAACCAGACATCCAGAGAGCATCTGCATCTGTGTTTTAATGGCATTCATTATGGAAAGAAACAATGGCGGGCATTTAAGGCATCCCACTATGATGAAGGGTTCATATCAACAGACAGTTATGGACATCCAAGATATGATTGGGTTTTTGAGGCTCTAGAAAGCAGAAAGGAAAGCTCCAGTTGGTTTCTACATTAGTTACAAATGTACCATACATACCTAATGGTCAGTTTCACGGGCTCAGGAGACCCGTTAACATCGATCAGGAACTCCTCTTCGAAGTGCCCCAGGATGGCAGAACTGAAGGAGATCTGGACAGCTTGGACCCCACTCGGTTCAATGATGCCTTCTTTGGGATTGAAAACAAAGCAGGCCCCCAAGGCTGAAGTGGGAGGGATCACATTGAAGAGGGCGTCGATGCTGCCTTTGTTGGAGAGGATTGCCTGTGTCAATCAAAGCCAAAGGTGATCGGGTCAAGGGAACTGCAGTCGGTTTGCATGTAAATATATGATGTATTATTCAGCATCAGAGAAAACTCCAGGAATTATAGCCGAAGGAAACTCTCAGCAGAAATGAATCATCTGGTGTCCTGAATGCTGGAAGACTGGACTCCCAAGTCACAGGTCATTTTACGCTTTCAGTGTTCTCTTTAAAATTAAGTTAGTTGGAGCTAGAGTGATGGCTAGAGGTTAAGAGTGCATACCGCTCTTACAGAGGACCCAAGTTCAGGTCCTAGACTCCACACTGGGTGGCTCCTGACTACCTGTGACTCCAGCTCTGATGCCCACAGACTTCACAGGTACCCACACTCATATGCACATACTCCCCACCTACCTACACATATAAATAATTTAAAAATCTTTAAAATTGTTAGTTTTGCATTATACTCATACTACTAAAAGACTGGTTATAATTATGTCTATGAACGAAGGTTCTTAGATCACCTTTTAAATATGCTCTATGAAGTAACCACAGAAAGGTAGAGAATTCTCTCGTGTGCATGAAGAAACTAAGGCTCAGTGCAGGCTGTCAAAGAAGGAAGCAAATCAGATGGAGCAGCAGCAACTGCCTCAGCCTGTGCTTGTGACGGAGCTTGGAGACTGCTTATCAGATGTCCGGATGATGAGGATGATGAGGATGCTCTCTGTGGTGCTGTGATTTCATCCTCCTGGAATGCATTCATCCCAAACACCATTGGATGAGTGACTCTTTGGGGATTCTTATGCAAGCAATCATTTTACTATGGCTGCTTTATTCCTGGATGCTAATGTCCTGGCAGCAGGCTAGTGCCCACATCTGATTGCACAGTGGCTTTTGAGTGTGTCCGTGAGGAGCTCATGCCGGGCATGCCGAGTCCTCCACAGCTGGCTTCTGTCTGATGCTCCCACCCCAAATCTCGCCATTTGTGTGCATGGAGCCTGCACTGCAGTCACACTGTCCTATTCTTGGCTTGCAAAGACACTCTTCTCTGATCCTTGACAATTCTGCCTTCACACCTAGACAGGTAACTGGCTTCCTCTCTTGATGAATAGGAACATCCCTTAATCCATACTCAAGACGTTGGAAGTTAATCAAATCAAGTTAGTTCTCTGCCCTCTTCACACTATATGGAGACTGATCATAATTCTATCTATGGACGAAGACTCTTAGAATACCTCTTAAATATTCCCTATAAAGCAAACAAGGAAGGGGTTGTGGCTAGTTCCTACACTTGCGTGGGGAGGCTAAGGTTAAGTGAAGACTGAAAAGTGTCCAAAGACATGCAGAAATTTAGTAGAAAAATGTGAGACACACCAGAAGAGACATGCTAAGGAATGATGGAACATGCTGGAAGCTAAGGAAGACATCCCAGAAAACTCAAATGAGGACAGAGGTCAGCAGAATGAACTCTGGGAAAAAGAGTTCAGGTCTTACATATAATGCGAGGTCACCCTGACCTTGAGGAAGACAGTGATTGTGATGGGGTGTGGTTACAGAGTCCAAAGAACGCATGTCTAGAAAGGGAGAGTAACAGATGGGGTTGACTAGCTCAGATTCCTGCTCTGAGATTGGTGGTGAAGGGTGAGGATGGGAACGGGGAGTATTTTAGAGGAGATGGAGTGTTGGGAATGATGGGAGCTCAGTGCCCTGACTACAGGGAGATCAGCTGTGGCTAGAGGTCCAGGAGACTAAGCTCTGGAGCGGAGCACAGGTAGGACAGAAAGCCACGTCCTCTGCAGAGGAACGGTCACTGCTGCCAGAGATAGATAACCAATGCGCCAGAACAAAACCATAAATAAGGTCGCTTGCTGCTCGGCTCGCCTTTTTACGGTTATTTCCACCCTTCCTTGTTCTGAAGTCCCAGGTAGTCTAAATTGTGCTTCCTTCTTTTTCTCTTTCAGAGAGACCACACAGGAAATGACTGTGGCTGAGGACTCAGTGGCCAAACAGCCTGGGTTCAAATCCTAGATGTGCCTTTGACTTCCTAGCTTAGACAAACTCCCTAATTTCTCCATGCCCCAGCTCCCCCATCTGTCCTCTTGACTTCTCATATCGCTGTAAGGGTCAATTTCTTAATTCATGTCACTGTGAGATAGCACCTGGCAAGAGTTTTCAAATGAGAGTGATGCTTACACCCCCAGTGGCCAGCGTTGTAGGCAGAGAATTTCCCTGGATTTAAAGGGGTAACTGACATATGCTCGTGGTCACTTGTAGGCTATTCTTTTTTAAAAAATAAGGATTTTTATTTTTTGAAAATTTCACATGTATATACAAAAATATCTTGGTTATGTCCATGACCCTGAAGGCCACTCTCTGAGGCATTCATGCCCTTTGTTCTCTCTGGACACAAGCACAAATCCCCTTTGGTTTATTGCTTTTATTGTTATTTGGTTAACATGACTATCTTTCCCAGGTTTTCTGAACAGTGAGACTTCTGTGTGTGTGTGTGTGTGTGTGTGTGTGTGTGTGTGTGTGTGTGTGTGCGCATGTGTGTGTGCATGAGTGCGTGTGTGCCTTCCTGTGGGTATACACCTATGTGTGCAGATGCATGCATGTCTGCGTACCTGTGCATGTGGAGGCCAGAGGTCACATTCCAGTGCTCTCCTCAATTACTTCCCACCTTATTTATTAAAACAGAGTCTCACTTTAATAAACCTGGAGCTCACTGATTTAGCAATAGTAGGTGGCCAGTGCAGGGATCTTCCTGTGTCCATCTCCCCAGCACTAGGAAGGATTACAGGCAAGTTCCACCATGCCCAGGTTTTTATGTGGTTTCTGGGGATGTGAACTCAGGTCCTCAAGCTTGCACAGGATGTACTTTACAGGAGAGGCATCTCCCCAGCCCCAGTTCCTTACCTTGAAGAATACAATGTCATTCTCTTATTATTGACAAAGAAACATACATCTATTCATGAATACTGAATCCAGCCAATAGTTTGGGACATGACCCCTTTGCCCAAGAGTTGGACCTCAGGTGTAAGAGCCTCGGGATCATGTCCCAAACTATGACCTCCTGCTTGTTTGCCCTCTGAATTGCACTGGAGAATACTGCGTACTCCGGGGATTAGCTTTTTTCTTTATGCATCTGCTAAGCTCAGCAATCACTAAGGTCAGCAGCTAGTTATTCAAATTTCTCAAGGAGGTAATGTAATCAATTGAAAGACCAATGAAGCGTCAGCGTTGAAGACGCCAAGGGTGCAGAATGTCCCCAGAGAAGCACCTCACCGTGTCCCTCTCTGCCACTTTTCAACTCTGCCCAATCTGATGCCTCACCTCACTGAACACTTTGGCTGGCTGGAGTTTGCTCTGCAGTTAAAATCTGGGCATGCCTATTAAATTGCTAAGAAATGTATTATTATACTCTGGGAAACCATATCCATTTTGCATCAGAACTAACTGTCCTTTCCTGATGTGGCGTCCATAAAGTACAATTGGTAAGGTGTAAGGAGAACGCATGTGGGATAAATTACACAAGCAACAGCAAAGAATGAGAACTATTGGGCTACAGAGATGGCTCAGAGGTTAAGAGCACTGGCTGTTCTTCCAGAGGACCTCAGTTCAATTCCCAGCACCCACATGGTGGCTCACAACCATCTGTAATGAGATTTGGTGCCTTCTTCTGGCCTTCAGGGATACATTCAGGCAGAACACTCTATACATAATAAATAAGTAAATCTTAAAAAAAAAAAAGAACTATCATATTTTTTTCCTTTGCCTTGGGGACTCTTTTCTCAAGAGCACAAGTTTTAGCTGTGTACCTCTTACGTCTTAATATCATTCAGACCGTGTTCCTATGTGTATCGTCAATCCTGACATTAACATCTGCGTACCTTGGCTTTGTTTCATTTGGCTCAGTTACCCCAGTGAGTATGGGGACGAAGGACACTGTCCCCATGTCATGCAGGCTGGATTTACTTGGTGTGGAAAAATGGGTTGCTGAGAATCTGAAGGACTGAAATGCCAGTAAAGTATCTCCTACTCACAGACAGCACAGAGGGCATCAGTGACCCTGTGCTCGTGACATTTGCAAGCTGAGTAACCTGGCCAAGTTTCTCCCCACCTATGGTGTCCGTCTTCCTCTACACTGCATCGTGACTATGGTCTCTGCTCTCCCTTGAAGACACACACAAATAATAGAACACGCTTGACAATGTGATGCCGCTTCCAGTGCTGCCTCCTATAAAAAGCTCCTCTGCATTCCTCAGAGTGCTCTCTCCTTCAGCCAGCGTGTGATGGGGGGCCTGCCAGCTTGCAGGGATGTGCCAGAAGCGATCGCTGTGAAGATGGAGGAGCCTGGGTTCCCGACTCTGGACTGTAGGACCTGCTGAGCCTTCACTCCATACTTTATCAAGCCTTAACCAAACCAGAAAAACCTCTCCAAGGCCCAGCTGACTCAGTCAGAAACGTGAGGAGCAACTGTCCCTTCTCCACAGTCTTTCTTCGAGGACCAAGTGAACAAACAAGCACTGGCCTTGTAGCAACATACGCCGAGGGAGGGACATAGCGGAAGTAACCAAAGGCACCGCATGTTTGCGGTGACACAGGATAAAAAATTCTACCTTTCACAATTCTGTAAGGACTGCAAATCACACACATGCATACACACACGCATACACATGCACACACACGCATACGCACGCACACGCGCATACACGCACACACACATGCACAAGCACATGCACATACAGAATCCCAGAGCCTGACAGCTACTTACGTATCACTTATTAAAAAACTGCTTGCATTCCCTCCATAAGATACAGACATTCACAATTTAGGAGCATCCTAAAATCAAGTTTCCGTGGCAGCCACTTGTCTATGTGTGCACTCCATATGATGGTGTGTAAGCCTATCCAGAAGCTGACCCATGAGGTGGCACTGGAATGACGTTGACTCTGAAGAACCATAAGTTCGTCTTGGAAAATTCCGGTTTTTACTTAATTGGGAAGACAGAACACAGCACTCTCCTTCAGAAACCATGACGGTTTAAAAAACAAAACAAAACAAAAAAAAAAAAAAACAGACCGGGGAAGAGGGAGCTGTGAGGAGATCCTGAAGTGTGAAAACAGCTATCCTCATTAGGATGGAGAAAATGCACAAAGGCCTCTTTCCTCTGATCTGTCGGATTTATGTTGTCTGAGAACAAGCACTAGACAGATGGGGAGGTGTATTTATGGTTTTCCCCTCTGCAGTCTACAAATTGAGGAGGATAAAGCCAATTAAATTACAGTGCCAAAGAGTTTTAGCATTTGATAAAATAAAAAGAATTGGAGGAGACACTCTCCTTAGCAGGGCTAGGAGAGAGGTCGGAACAGAGACAGAAAATGGAAAAGGAAGGTGGCTGTACAAAGTCTTTATCAAATAAAAAACACATCAAGAGAAGTGGAGAGAGAGAGGCCAGGCCTGCTCGGAGCCCCAGTGAACAAGGGTAGTGCCCACCTCATAACAGTGAGCAGATCCGACGAAAACTTTGCCAATGTCCAGCGATTCGAAGTTGAAGTGAATCTTGGGTCCCATCCCTTCTCCTCTGATCCGGAGGGGCAAGCGGATCTCCCGGCCTGTAAAAGCAATTCCGTGTTACCCAGACGGTATTTCATCAGTCCAAACCACCCGCAACTTATTACCGATGCAAAGCGTGAGCTTCTCAAATACTCCCCAGGACTGCCCTGTATCAAGGGAACTGCAGTTTAACTAAGGTGGAAGTCGGCGCTTATCGTTAGGAAACAGTAATATCGCTAGGTTCTTAGCTTTTACGAACAACTTACATAGTAATTTGGGCTGACATTTTGTCAGGGAAAAGACAATTAAGACAGTTAACCTCCAGATACAGAAAGGCAAATGCTACGTGTTCTCATTCCTGTGTAGAAGCTAAAGCTGGTCCCAGAGCAGCAGAGGGTAGAGGAGTGATTACCAGAGGCAGGGAAGGGTGGAGAGAGGGAGGGTAAAGAATACCATCAGATAGTGTTGGGAGCATAGCTCAGCGGAAGGGGGCAAGCATGGTCTACACAAGAGCCTGTGTTACATCTCCAGTACCATCACACACACACACACACACACACACACACACACACACACACACACACACACACGAGAATTCTAGTCTCCCATGGCACAGCAGGGAAGCTAGAACATATTGTATATTTCAAAATAGGTAGACCACAGGCCTGCCCGCAGCAGGGGCGGGTGGGAGACAGTGGCCAGAGGCCTCACCCCCGTGCATCACTAGGATGAGCAAACGTCCAGTGGAGAAATGGGAGAGAAAGAGAAACGGAGCAGCTATGTGCTGTGGAGAGAGGCAGAACTGGAGATGCACTGGGGTGAGGAACAGATTGATGTGAGTGGCCCACACTGCCACCTCAGGCCATGCGATGATGTCTGGGCCTGAGCTGCAGTGGTGGTGAGGGGCCCATGTCCGGGTTCACAGCCTTACTGCAGCCAGGGTCTGAGTTGATGTCCGTGGCCACGTGGAGGCCCGTGGTGTGGACTGCTGCCGAAAGCCATGCTGATGTCTGAGGGTCATGCTGAGCTGGCCCCTGCCCCTGGCTGGCCCTGGGGGAGCTGTCTCTGCCCCCTTGCTGGTCCTGGTGGTGGCATGGGTGCAGGAGAGCTGGTCCTGCCCCTCGTCTGGGCAGGGGGTTGTTCCTGGCAGAGGCCCAGGCTGACCAACTCAGCTACCACCTAGGCCCACATCCAGGGCTTTGAGTTGGCCCACCACAATATCTACCCCAGAACCATAGCTGCAGGATTTCCATGACTGGGGCAACAGTGGATATCCCAGAGGAGTTTTGGTGAGGATCCAGTGAGGATGGTGTACCAGGAGCCAGAGGCCTTGAACCAGACCAACGACTCATTGCAATGAACATCTGCAAGTAAAGTTGCCTGGGCAAGAGGGCAGACTGCACGCTATACCACAACTCACAGTTCCCAATACCACGATGATGAACGGGCACGTGTTGGAGAGGCAGGCAAGATGGGGGAGTGAAGTAGGTACTATTATTATTATTATTATTATTATTATTTTCTTTTCTTTTGGGGGGAAGGCTATGAGGGTGGAAGGCAGACATGGATGGACTGGGAAATGAGTAGAATTAGGGCACTATGTGAAATTCCCAAAGAATCAAAAAGATTACATTAAATAAAAAATAGCTGGAAGACTGGATTTTGAGTATTAAAACAAATGATAAATGGCTGAGACAATGGATGTACTCTTACCTTGAGTTGATCGTAACATATTGAATTTATGTCTCAAAATAGCGTATTGTAGCATATGCTTATTATATATACATGTATGCATATTATATATACATATACACACATATATGACACAATTTAATTATTGTGTCAATTAAAATAATATAAAATTTAATCAAGTCTTAACATTATTCTGAAGTTTTTAATAAAGCAAGGTATCTTGTCTGATTCTGAGGAGGGTGACCGGTGATTGACACTAGTCATGAAGTGGAAGCCACCACAAGACGCCAAGGGATGCTGTTTGTTTTGATCTAGATTTAGGAAGACCTAGAGAACTAGCCCTCTAACTTTGTGGAAATAACCTGGACCCTTTGCTTTACAGAACTTTTTCTACCTCATTCCATGGATGCCATGGAATGACCTCATCAGTATGTGTCTTAACACATCCATAATGGACCCAGAGTCAACACAGAGCACATAGCCAACCACTCTGTGTCTTCTCCTCTCTTAGAATATGGAAATATCAGTCAGGCAGTGGTGGCGCACACCTTTAATCCCAGCACTTGGGAGGCAGAGCCAGGCAGATCTCTGTGAGTTTGAGGCCAGCCTGGTCTATAGAGCAAGATCCAGGATAGGCACCAAAACTACACAGAGAACCCTGTCTCAAAAAATTAAAAAAAAAAAGAATATGGAAATATCTTCACTAGATAATATATGATCAACTAGAAATTACAGAGTATATAGAAAATCTCTCCTAACTCCACCATCATAAGATAATTATTGTCAACATTGTGGTGCCTATTGTCTGTGCTTAATTATATCAAAACAGTTAATATAAATAAGTTACATATTAGTTTGTACCTGATTTTTCCATTTAAAATATGGGTTATACTTTTCCATATAAGATATGAGCCCTGAGTAGGGCTGTATAATTGATTTCCTTCCCTTGGCAGCTTGCATGGTATTTTCTGGTACCATTTCTAGACTGCAGGAAGGAGACTTTTCAAGTCAAATCCAGCTCTAATCATCCAAATCTTGTGCCCTAAGCTTGCTGTGCCTTCAGTAATAGAGGTCCACTCAACTCCCAAGAGGCAACCAAGGTCTATATCAAAGGTCTATATTGTTTTGGGAGTCACTTGGACTACCCTGACCAACTAATCAAAAGGAGGTTTCTTGTGCCTAGTACTGGAGGTTATTTTTAGTCTATAGCTCTTGTTGGGGAGCACTGTCAGTGCAGTGGTTTAACTCCTGTGTGTGTTTTACACATACACACACACACACACACACACACACACACACACACACACACACACAGTGTATAATTACAATTTTAGGTAAATATAAAAATAACGATTCCTTGAGGCTTTATCAAACTACCCTGTGTAATTTGTCCCTTATCTCTCCTTCTCTGTCTGTATTGACCAACCGACCTCCTCCCCAGTTGCAGCCCCCTCCAACTTTGCATTTCTCATTTCACATCACCTGTATACTGCTATTCCCACTCAACCCCGCCTCTGCCTCTACCTGCCTGTAGTATACTTTCTTGGTTTCTATGGTTACTCCATATTGTGTACTCACATCTGAGGGTCTGGAGCCAGGAACCGCAGATAAGAGAGAACATTCATTACTTGTCATTCTAGGTCTGCATTACCTCACTCAATATGGTCTTTTCTAGGTTCTTCCTAGAAATTGCATGTCAAATTTCACTTTTCTTTATAGCTAAGTATTATTCCATTGAGTGTATGTATGACATTTTCATTCATCTGTTCAAGGACATTTAGGTTGTTTCCATCTACTAGCGATTGTGAATAGACATTATTGGGCAGATATCTATGAAGCAGGAGGTCGAGTCCTTTGGCCATATGCCAAGGAGTGAGTGGTATAGCTGGGTCATATGGTAGATTTATTTTTCATTTTTTGAGAATTCTCCATCCTGATTTCCAGAGGGGCTGCACCAGTTTGAATTCCCACCAGCATGGAAGGATGGAGGCGGGTCCTATGTCTCCACAACTTCACCAGCAATTGTTAACTAGTTGTTTTGTTGATCCTAGCCATTCTGACTGGGGCGAGATGAAGTCTCAAGGTTGTTTTAATTTGATATTTTGTCTTTTTTTTTTGAGCTGAGGACTGAACCCAGGGCCTTGTGCTTGCTGGGCAAGTGCTCTACCACTGAGCTAAATCCCCAACCATGGTTGTTTTCATTTGAATTCATGATTGCTAAGGATGATGGACACTTACTGAGGTATTTCTTAACCATTTTTATTTCTTCTCTTGAGAACTCTGTGTAGCTCTCCAATCTCTTGAATTGGGTCACTTGCTCCTGGACTCTGTTTCCTAGTTCTCTGTATATTCTGGACATTAGTCCTCTGTCAGATGTGAAGCTGGAGGATTCCCTCCCACTCTGTGGACTTTTTCACTTGACTGGTTGTTTCCTTAGCTGTTCAGAAGCTCTTCAGAACTGCGAGGTCCCAGTTGTCAACTGTTGGCCTTAACTTCTGGGCCAATGGGCATACTTGCTCTGTACATAACTTGGAATACTCAAAACACTTTTGATGGCCTGTTAGGTTTAGTTTTTAGTATTAAATGCATTCAGAATTACCAAGCAATAGTTCTTTCTTTTAAACATTTGGTCTCATATCTCTTTGGGCATTTATCTATCTATCTATCTATCTATCTATCTATCTATCTATCTATCTATCTATCTATCTATCTATCTATCTATCTATTATCTTACCTGGCCACAGTTTCCCCTCCTTCCTCTCTTCCCAGTCCCTCCTCCATCCCCCTTTGTTCCCTCTTGCCCAACCTACTCCTCCTCTGTTTCTGTTTAAGAAAGGGCAGGTCTCCCATGAATATCAAGTTGCTCTAAGACTAAGCACCTCCCCTTGTATTAAGGCTGGGGAAGGTGACCCAGTATGAGGAAAAGGGTTCCAAAAGCCAGCAAGAGAGTCAGAGGCAGCCTCTGCTCCTACTATTAGGAGTCCCACAAGAAGACCAAGCTGACAACTGTCACGCATATGCAGAAGGCCTAGGTCAGTCCCAGGCAGGCTCCCTGGTTGTTGGTTCAGTCGCTGCGAACCCCTATGAGCCCAGGTTAGTTGATTCTGTGGGTTTTCTTGTGGTGTCCTTGACCCCTCTGGCTCCCACAATCCTTTCTCCCTGTCTTCCACAGGATTCCCTGAGCTCTGCCTAGTGTTTGGCTGAGGGTCTCTCTGCTTCTAGAAGTTGCTGGATGAAGCCTCTCTGATGACAATTGGTGCAGGCACCCATCTGGTCACAGGAGATGGCCAGTTCAGGCTCCATGTCTGCTCTTGCTAGGAGTCTTTGCTGGGGTCTTCCTTGTCGATTCCTGGGAGTTTCTCTTGCG